AGGAGGGGGGGGGAGCAGGGATAGGATAGGGTGAAGATACGGGCATCAGAGTGAGGACAGGTAGGCAGGGCACCCTCCCCCTGCCACGAGGTACCCTGGGCGGAGCTACGAGGTGTGAATATCACGGGGTAGTGGCAGAAGGGGGGAGGGGGAGCGGGCGAAAGAGGTGAGAGAACGGGGCGTGATGGGGGGGAGGGGGGAGGCAGGGACCCAGGGTCAGAGAGCGAGCGAGGCAGGGGTTATAGTGGCTGCCGGCCGAGGTCAAAGGTCAGTCTGAAGTGAGCCGGTGAAGGAGCTGGGTCACAGCATCTCTCTCCCTCTCTCTCTCGCGCTCTATCTCCCCCGCAGCATCCCAAATACGGAAAAAAAATACTTGTGTTTTTTTGTGTGTGTGTCTGCAGCATCGCCCTCGTGGAAAAAAATAAGTGACTTTGAAAAAAAAGAAAAGGAAACGAAGAATTCACAGAAACGCTAAACAAAAGTGAAATCAACCGCGTGCTTAAGAACAAAAAAAGAAGTTAAATCGAAGACCATTTCTTATCATTTTACGGAAAGCAAAGAAAGCTCTCTGTGGCGCAACTGAATTAATTAAGAACACCGTAATTAACAGCCAATCGACAGCAATGGATCTAACAGAACTATCTAATGAACTGCCTTGTAAGTCTACAATTAATGTCTCTAATTAATATGTATTAATGGCTATTTTTCTTTCTTCATTAAGCAGTAGTTTTCGCCTTGCTTAAAAGATAGTTTATATTTTTTTCTTCTTCTTATGATTATCTTAGAATGTTTAGGTATTTTGTAACGAAACTATTTTTTTTTGCTTATTAATATATTTAATCATTTACATGGTATTATCTTGAATGTTTTTTTTTCTACTGTTTCTATATACATTTTTTAAATTTCTCGTTTTGGATTCAATTTACGTATTCGTTGTGATAAATATATTGTTTTGATGTTTGATCGCGCAAATACTAAATAGTTTTTTTGTGAAATTTATTTGATAATATTATTATCTAGTGAATTTTAAAAGTTATTATTTTCTTTATTCCTTTATTTTGAGAGAGAGAGAGAGAGAGAGAGAGAGAGAGAGAGAGAGAGAGGAGAGAGAGAGAGAGAGAGAGAGAGAGAGAGAGAGAGAGAGAGAGAGAGAGAGAGAGAGAGAGAGAGAGAGAGAGGAGAGAGAGAGAGAGAGAGAGAGAGAGAGAGAGAGAGAGAGAGAGAGAGAGAGAGAGAGAGAGAGAGAGAGAGAGAGAGAGAGAGAGAGAGAGAGAGAGAGAGAGAGAGGAGAGAGAGAGAGAGAGAGAGAGAGAGAGAGAGAGAGAGAGAGAGAGAGAGAGAGAGAGAGAGAGAGAGAGAGAGAGAGAGAGAGAGAGAGAGAGAGAGAGAGAGAGAGAGAGAGAGGAGAGAGAGAGAGAGAGAGAGAGAGAGAGAGAGAGAGAGAGAGAGAGAGAGAGAGAGAGAGAGAGAGAGAGAGAGAGAGAGAGAGAGAGAGAGAGAGAGAGAGAGAGAGAGAGAGAGAGAGAGAGAGAGAGAGAGAGAGAGAGAGAGAGAGAGAGAGAGAGAGAGAGAGAGGAGAGAGAGAGAGAGAGAGAGAGAGAGAGAGAGAGAGAGAGAGAGAGAGAGAGAGAGAGAGAGAGAGAGAGAGAGAGAGAGAGAGAGAGAGAGAGAGAGAGAGAGAGAGAGAGAGAGAGAGAGAGAGAGAGAGAGAGAGAGAGAGAGAGAGAGAGAGAGAGAGAGAGAGAGAGAGAGAGAGAGAGAGAGAGAGAGAGAGAGAGAGAGAGAGAGAGAGAGAGAGAGAGAGAGAGAGAGAGAGAGAGAGAGAGAGAGAGAGAGAGAGAGAGAGAGAGAGAGAGAGAGAGAGAGAGAGAGAGAGAGAGAGAGAGAGAGAGAGAGAGAGAGAGAGAGAGAGAGAGAGAGAGAGAGAGAGAGAGAGAGAGAGAGAGAGAGAGAGAGAGAGAGAGAGAGAGAGAGAGAGAGAGAGAGAGAGAGAGAGAGAGAGAGAGAGAGAGAGAGAGAGAGAGAGAGAGAGAGAGAGAGAGAGAGAGAGAGAGAGAGAGAGAGAGAGAGAGAGAGAGAGAGAGAGAGAGAGAGAGAGAGAGAGAGAGAGAGAGAGAGAGAGAGAGGAGAGAGAGAGAGAGAGAGAGAGAGAGAGAGAGAGAGAGAGAGAGAGAGAGAGAGAGAGAGAGAGAGAGAGAGAGAGAGAGAGAGAGAGAGAGAGAGAGAGAGAGAGAGAGAGAGAGAGAGAGAGAGAGAGGAGAGAGAGAGAGAGAGAGAGAGAGAGAGAGAGAGAGAGAGAGAGAGAGAGAGAGAGAGAGAGAGAGAGAGAGAGAGAGAGAGAGAGAGAGAGAGAGAGAGAGAGAGAGAGAGAGAGAGAGAGAGAGAGAGAGAGAGAGAGAGAGAGAGAGAGAGAGAGAGAGAGAGAGGAGAGAGAGAGAGAGAGAGAGAGAGAGAGAGAGAGAGAGAGAGAGAGAGAGAGAGAGAGAGAGAGAGGAGAGAGAGAGAGAGGAGAGAGAGAGAGAGAGAGAGAGAGAGAGAGAGGAGAGAGAGAGAGAGAGAGCTATTTTTTTTTCTGTACGATTATCCATCATTTTTTTAATATATAAATCTTCATCGATATACATTCGTTCATCATTTTTCTTTCGAGTTTTCCATTTTTATCCGTATTTTTCTGATCTTTCTTTCTTTCATCTTCCCCGATATTTATTTATTTATTCAATTCCTTTTCGTTATTCAGTTTATCCGATACTGTATTCTATATTTTTTATTTTTTCGTTTATTCAGTTCTTTTCCGTTATTCAAATTATCCGTTTTCTGTATCTTATTATTTTTTTCATTTATTCAGTTCTTTTTCGTTATTCCTTTTATCCGATTCTATATCTTCCTTATTTATACATTTATTCAATTTATTTGTTGTTCAGATTATCCCGTTTCTGCATTTTATTTCTTTCGTTATACATGATCGATGTTATTCACCAATATACGTTATTATTAGTGCTAGTGTTTATTAATTTTTATCAAATTTCGTATCGTTTTTCATTATCTTTCACCTTTTCCTTCTTTTTGTTGTTGTTTTTGTTATACACTTTTCGTGTTATATTGATTTATATCTTCCTTTATTCATTCCCCATCTTTCTCCTTCATTTCATATTTTTTTTTATTTCGTCTAATTTCTATTTCTCCCTCCCCCCTCTTTTTAGATCTAGTCTAGTCCTTCTCCACGGAATCGAACGAATAATTTCTCCTCCGAATCCCTACTTCTTTCTCAATTTCATCCTCACCTCCTCCTTCATCATCGCATCCCCCATCTCTCCACTTTATTCAGTCCTTACTTCTCCCCTTCATCCAGTTATTTCTTCCTTCATCTAATTCCCCTTTTCTCCTCCTCCCCCCACAGACGCGGGCGAGAAACCGTCCCAGTCCTGCTCCACGGAATCGGACGACGACAAGAACAAGAAGAAGCGGCAGCGGCGCCAAAGGACGCACTTCACGTCGCAGCAGCTGCAGGAGCTCGAGGCCACCTTCGCCAGGAACAGGTGAGGGAGAAGAGATAGATAGATAAATGGAGAGTGAGAGAGAAAGAGAGAGGGAGAGAGAAAGAGGGAGTGAGTGAAACACTGAGTGAGTGAGTGAGTGAGAGAGAGAGAAAGATAGATAGATAGATAGATAGATAGATAGATAGATAGAGAGAGAGAGAGAGAGAGAGAGAGAGAGAGAGAGAGAGAGAGAATGAGATAGAGAAAGAGAAAAAAAGAGAAACAGACCAAAAATCTTAACAGATAATTCCAAGAACCCATTGAATATATCACCCCCCATCAACCCTCCCTCCCCACCCCCTCCTTTTCCCTTCCCCCTCCCCCTCCTCCTCCCCCCTTAATAAGACACAACCCCCATCAACCCTCCCTCCCCTCTCCTCCCCCCCTCCTCCTCCCCCATAATAAGACATAACCCTAATTTTCCCCTCGTTTTTCTCCCCTCAGATACCCAGACCTCAGTGCCCGCGAGGAAATAGCACTTTGGCTCAACTTGAAGGAAGCACAAGTTAGGGTAAGTGTCTTGTCCCTTAATTACAAGTTGTGAATAGATTAAGTGGTTTTTTTATTTGTTTTATTTATTTTTGTTACGGTTTTAGGTTCAAGTTTAAAAAAAAAAAATGTTTATCTAGCTTTTATTCATTTTTTTCGTACATTGTTGGAAGTCAATAGAAACTACAATAATAATAATGATAATAATGATAATGATGATGATGATGATGATGATGATGATGATGATGATGATGATGATGATGATGATGATGATGATGATGATGATGATGATGATGATGATGATAATAATAATAATAATGACAATAATAATGATAATGATAATAATGATAACAATAATAACAATAATAATGATAATAACAATTACAAGTAAAATCATAGTGTTAATAACCAAAAAAATATTACTAGTAATATGCTAATGATAACAACAATGTCTAATAACATAAAAATAACATAGATAATAATATTACATTAATAATAGTTATTTGAATAAACTAACAAGAATGGTGATATGTTCGCGCTTCCAGTACCACGAAAAAAATACAAATAACAATAACATTAATAAAATACAACAACAACAACGAAAATATTAACAGTAATCATAACACGAATCACATTGAAATTAAAACTATAACTCAGGTATATTCACAACAACTTTAACAACAAGTTTCATGCTACAATATCAATGCATTTGCAATAACAATATCAACAACTTTAACGAACCACTTCTTTAGTAGATCTTAGGATGTTGTAAATCATAACCGGTGTTGTATCATTGGTAACGCTATAGTACTGTCATTAGTGATTATCATTATTATTATTATTATTATTATTATTATTATTATTATTATTGTTGTTGTTTTATTCTGTTTTATTGCTGTTGTCGGTCATTCTTTTACTGGTATTAGTGTTATTGTTATTATTATTATTGATATTATTATTAATTATTATCATAACTTCAGTAGTTATCACTATACAAAGATAATCATCATCATTATCATTATATTCATTATTATTTGGTGTAGACATTATATACTTGTTATCGGCTTTACTGTTTTCGATGTTACTGTTCTTGTTTTCCTTTTATTTTCATTATTTGTAATTATTTTTTATTAGTATCTATCACGGCCAGTTACTTATATATTAATAATCGTCTTTATTATTATTATGCAATTATACAATAGTTATCGTCACCGTGTTTAAGATCAATGCGCTACGATTAGTGATTATAACAGTTATCATATAAAGAACAATAATTCAATTATTTCACATATATTCTTTGTTCTTTATTAGTATTATTTACTTAAATGAAGTGTTTTTTCCCATCCGGTTAACATAAAACGAACAAACAAACACACAGACAAACGTTATTTTCACAGCAACAAAATTATTTCCCCAAAAAGTTCGAATAATGTGATATTCTTTAGCATAACGATAGGGTCCACTTGTTTGCAATAACAGCGGGCAAAAAAATGTAATGTTTTTCCTATATTGAACAATGCAATGCAATATTTATGTTTTGATCCCGTCATCCCAAACATAATCCTAGACTTATAGGCTGCAATTTGAATATGTTTCACTTCATTCCAGCCAAGATTTCTTTTTATACATTTTTTCCCAACCCAACAAATTAAAATATTTGTTCGGCAAATAAACAGATCAGTAAGTGTGATGATGTTATCCAAACAAATGAATTACGCCGAAGCCAAAGCCACGCTGTTACATTCGCACATTTGTTGATGCATTTCGAAATATACACGGGGTTAATAAAGGATTTTTTTTTTTTTTTTACTTTCCATTTAATCATCACCGCGAACACTTTTATCATTAAAATCATAATATATTTTCCCCTCTGTGAGCCGCAGAGCTAAATAAATAAAACGGCTCTACTGCAAAATATTTCACAGTAGTTCCAGAATTTTTCCCATAGCAGCAGTGATAAATTTCAAATACGCACACACACAAAGACACACATGTACACAGACGTACACAGTCTTCGGCATCTTCATAAACCCTAATAATACACTAGAAAGATCAAGTACCTTTTATCGATAGTCCTCCGCGGCGAAGTAGGCCCGGGCTCGTTCAGCGGCGGCGGCAGATAGGCCTAGCATCTTCACACGCCCCGCCGATGGGCCTCGGTCGTGATTAAGCCAATTTAATTAATGTTTAGTCGGTTAGTTACAAGCTGTTGGCAGGGGATATTGGGTCGTCTTATCAGGCGTCGGGAAGAAAAACGGCCGTTTTAGAGGGTCGTTCGCTGGGCGGTCGCGGCGGCGCTGGGCGGCACCTCGGGGCTGTACCTGGCTTTATTTAGGCATTGTTCTATGTATATATATGTATATATACATACATAAACACATTTATACATATGAATGAATATATATATATATATATATATATATATATATATATATATATATATATGTATATATATATATGTATATATATATATGTACAGATGCATTAGTAGCGCATTCAGTTCCTTGAGACTCACCGCCTCCTTCCCTCCCGCAGATTTGGTTCAAGAACCGCCGCGCCAAGTGGAGGAAGCGCGAGCGCCACGCCATGGCCACGGCGATGCCCGGCGACCTGAAGGGCGGCTGGGGCGCGCAGCTCAACGGCCTGGCGTGGCCCGACGAAGGCCTCTACTCCGGCTACTCCTCCTACAACAACTGGGCGAAGGTGACGCCGCCGCCGCTGGGCGCCAAGAGCTTCGCGTGGGGCTTCAACGGCGTCAACATGAACCCCCTGATGAGCCAGCAGCCGTCGGCCATGTCGCCCATCAACTGCTTCCAGACGCCCACGCAGGGCATGGGCGGCTCGGCCAACCTCATGCCCACGTCCATGTCGTCGTCGCTGGGCTCGAGCGCCGCCCCGTGCCCCTACCCGGCGCCTACCCCGCCCTACGTGTACCGCGACCAGACGTCCTCCATGTCCTCCTCCATCGCCTCGCTGCGCCTCAAGGCCAAGTCGCACTCGCCCGCCTTCTCCTACTCCAGCGGCGGCGCGGACACGCGCTCCCCGCCCGTGCCCGACAACAACGCCTTCTTCGCTGCCGCGGCGGCGCCCAGTGACAAGTTCTCCTGCATGAACACGGTCATCGCGTAACGCCCGCGGCGCCCTCACGCCCACACAATACCAATACCACGCCCTCAGCCGCCTTGAGCTGGCTGTGGCTGTGTGAGGGAACCGCGGCCCCCGGCGACGCGCTTCGGCGGCGCCGGGCGCGGGCCGTCGCTGCCGCCGCCCTGCGCAGCGCCCAAGGTCCGGGAGAGGGACCTGAAGAAGCCGCGCCGTCGCCGTCAGGAGCCGGTCGCAAGCCGGGGCACCTGCTGCAGGTCGCGGTCAGCTCACGGGTATCCTATAGACAGGACTTGTATCGTAAAACAAAAGACAAGACACGGAAGTAACGAGCGGAGGCGAGAGAGACTGACCCCCGCCCCCCCCGCCCCACCGCCCCCTCGCCACCTCGCTGCTCCTCTCCTGTTCTGCAAAAAAACCGACCTCGTACAGTGATTGTTGTGCAATATTTGCTTATCGCCTCTTTTATCTTTATTTTGCCTTCCTGATTCTCCCCACGGTCGGTTGGGAGAGACGAAAGAGCTGATACAAATATGTCCTTTTCTTTTCTTCCCTGATTCTTCGTGACGTAACGGCGGGAGTCTATTCCCGTCAGACGGTTTATCATTGTTTAATATAAACGATAAGTTGACGTGTATTTATTGTTTGTCTTTGATTGACAGATGCTACGTTTTATTTTGTAAATATCGTTAATGCAGTGCATCTCGACTGTCTCCAATAAAATGAGAAATTACAGAGGTGAAAACTAAATAACCACGAAAATAAAAGCCACATAATCGCCGCTACACAAACCGGACCTAGTGGGCTTCGTCTCCTCCCGCCCATCGTATTTTACACACAAAAAAACAAACAAACATGAAGAATAATGATTTATTTACGTCGTATGTATAAATGTCAGTGTGCAGTGTTGTCAACAAATATGTACATAGATTTGTGCCACTTGCATTGAAGATAATATGACTTCCAGTGTGCATTGGCAAAACTTCACTTCAGAAATTTGGAAATAAATAAAAAGAGTGTGTCGACCATGGCGTCATCCTCTTCGCGTGTGGCTGCTACAACGTCATCAACTCGGATGGGTTGTTCGTAACGAAGAAATTATATTTTCTTCCAACACACCTTCAAGGGTATACTCCTATTAACAGAGGTTATTATTACATTAAGTCGCGTGTATGTAAATATATAATTCCAAGGTGTGTAAAACTGCGCTGTCTCTCTTCCATTCTTGCAAGGCCTAACTCTTTCCTTCAAAAAATCAAAAACTTACCATCCGATGCCATGGTCAGAGGAAGAAGGTGTGTGTCGACCACGACGTCATCAGGGTCGGTAGTGTGTGTCGGCCATCGTCTGACCTCCCGGCGACTGTTTACAAAGCGTGTGTCGAGCGTGACGTCATGGCTCGTGTTCTCCTCGTGTGTCAAAGACTGTACATTCCATAACCATAAATCATATTATTCCCTCATTTGTACAGAAGAATGTTACCTCTCCCCCCACCCCCAACCCCCCCTCTCCCTCTTTTCTTTCAATAATCTGCTCTCGTTTGTTCCCAAATTCAAACGTTGTTCATTTTCCCCTTTCTTCGTTGTCTTTCTTGTCCCTTCTTGTCTCTTCTCCTCTTTTGTCTCCGCCCTTTTCCTCTCTTTCCTCTCTTCCATCGTTCTAGTTCTCCCTTTTGCTTCTTTCTTTGTGTCTTCCATTTCTCCTCTCATCACCTTCATCTTTTTTTTTTCTCCTTGTCCCGTCTCCTCCTCCTCCTCCTCCTCCTCCTTCCTCCTCCTCCACCACCACCTCCTCCTCCTCCTCCTCCTCCTCCTCCTCCTCCTCCTCCTCCTCCTCCTCCTCCTCCTCCTCCTCCTCCTCCTCCTCTTCCTCCTTCCTCCTTCCTCCTTCCTCTTCCTCCTTCCTCCTCCTCCTCCTCCTCCTCCTCCTCCTCCTTTTCCTCCTTCTTTTTCTTCTTCTTCTTCATGTATAGATCATTAATTTTAGAAGTTCTAGAGAAGTTTGAGTGTCTACATAATGTATTCGTGTACCAAGGTTTAATAAAGTACATAATTTCATTAAATTTCGTTAATTACTTCATTTACCTTCCGAACATCACTAATAAGCTAATGGGTATAATTAGAATAAAAATAATGATGATACTAAATGTTAATAATGACGATCTGGTCACCTTGCTTATCTTTTGGTAGCGGTGATAAAGATAATTATAATGATAAAGATAAAGAAAATACTTTATAATCAAGACAACACATGTAATAGTAGTGATCCTGATAATGATATGTGATGATGATAATGATGAAGAACTGAATCTATGATGACAATGGCGCCAGTGAAAATCATATTCAATATGACACGCAAGCACAAATGTATATATATGTGCGTGTGTATGGTTGTGTGTGTGTGTGTGTGTGTGTGTGTGTGTGTGTGTGTGTGTGTGTGTGTTAATTTATATTTATATATACATATGCATATATATATATATATATATATATATATATATATATATATATATATATATATATATATATATATATATATATAGAGAGAGAGAGAGAGAGAGAGAGAGAGAGAGAGAGAAAGAGAAAGAGAGAAAGAGAGAGAGAGAGAGAGAGGGGGGGGGGAGGTTGAAGCTTGTCATCTCACGAAATCTCACGAAATTCAGCTAAACTATGATATTAATAAATATTGTAATCATGATAAGAGAAACAGTAATGATGAAGGATGGTAGCAGTAACATACAAAAACATACAAAAAAGAAACATACACATATCGGTACTGCAAATGATGATAATAATAATAGTAACAATAATGATAAAAGAAATATCAAAAGAAAAAAAATATATATTACGAGCAGAGTGATATGACTTTAACAA